CGAGAAAATATTGAAAACCATAAATGACCATCGGAAATACTATGATAAGCTTTTTTTGATAATACATATGAAAATTCTTGCATTTCTGCTTCACTAGCAATTGGTAAAATTCGTTCAATCTAAGTTGAAGACAAAAATAAGAGATAGTATGTTTTCTATTACACGACTTACTCGTCCATCATCTTTTTCAACTGCAAACCATTGTTGAGAAATAAAATAAGACTTATCTAGAGTTTGTAAATCTCGAACAATAATGTATTTTAAAAACCATGATGCAGAAGAACCTTCGCCTGAATTATCATGCCAAATACGAATGTAATTTAATAATCCCAATGATCTAAATATTAATATTTTATAAAATCTCCAAAAAGAAATGATAATTTTACTTTGGAACAGCAATAATAAAAGAATTAATTCCACCACGTTGAAAAAGTTTTCGATGAGGATCAGCAAATAATCGAGTATGTGTTTGATCATTTTCACCCGATAAAACAAAATAAACCTTCCAAAAAGAAAAAAAAAACAATTTCATTAAGATATTTTCTTTGTACTATCTTACTTTTGAATCTGTTCCTGCATTTGTTCTTTGACCAGTAAAAACAAGAATTTGATAATAATAATGATCCGATTTATTATTATCAGCTAATGGTGTTACTCCTAACTAAAAAAAGTCACAAATTTTAACTCTATGAAATATATGAAATAGATTTTTAGTTTACTTTTTCAATATCTTCCTTATCTTTAAAACGAGCATAAATCATTAAAATAATATAAATTATTGAAGTAATTATCATTGTTAAATAAACTGTTTTATTTTTCGAAAAATCAGCATTTGCAAAAACATAACTCCAATTTATTGGTGCAGGTAAAACAATGAAACCACCAGCAAATGATGTTAAATGAGTTGAAAGACATTCAGTTTCATAAAGATTTGTCAAAGGACCAACTGTTAATCCATCTGATTTCCAATTATTATTTTCATCAAGATAATAACAACCTGATGTATATATAAGAAGTTCATAATTTGATGTAAAATCATATGGTTCATCGGTGATTGGTAAAGACGTATTTATTGAAGAGCTATTTAAACAATAATTATTAATTTCAGTTGAATTTAATTCTCTTATTCCAAATATTAATGATTGATGACCAGGTGTTTGTTGATTATCAATAAAATATCGATATATATTATCAATAGTTAAATCTATAATTAAAAAACACATAGATCTATATGAATGTTCAAGAAAAGAAAACATACTGAAAGGACAAAATACTGTCCATCCATCAATAAGATTAATTGAACTATTTAATTGTGGTGTTTGATCAAATTTATAAATAAATAAATAAGCAAGACTTCGATTTAAAGAATGAATTTCAAAATGAACTGAAATCGGAAGAGAACTTGTTGTATTAATATAATGATAACTGAACAATAAATTATTAATAGTTGAATTAATCGATGTAACATTTTGTAAATACATTGATGGAATTAATACATTTGGATCACGAGGAATAATCATTTGTATTGGATTATTTTGGTGGGCTTGAAAAGAAACTTCATTTCCATTTTGATCAATAATTGAAAGTGAAATTGATCGTGAAAGATTTGTATTTTGAAAATTTGCAAATGAAGCAAGTGGATCTACTCTTGACTAAATAAAACAAAAATTATTCGATTAAAACTATTCAAATTGTAGAAAATTACTCGAAGTGAAATTGAAGAATTAGACGTTGTGTTCAAAATAAAATCGGATGGAATATGAAATTGAGCATTTTCAACTTGTCTCACAAGTCTATCTTTGAGTGATTGAATTGATATAGTTTCTAATGATACAAATGATTGAGATGTATTAATTATTGACTTTTGGCCGATATTTAAATGAATATTTAATGAAGGTGTTAATAATGATATCATTTCTGTCACTTGACTATTGATTTGATTTGCTAATTGTTTTTGATAATAAATATTTCGATTTTTTTCAATTGTTTCAATAGAAAAATCGTTTCCATCAGAAAATAAATCTTTTAAATAATCAAAATTCAACAACAATTAATGATTTAAAAGAATCTTACTTAAATTTGACCATTCAGATTCAAGATCAGTATCATAATCAGTAGATATGGCATTTGCTTGAGAATAATCCAAATCAAGTACATCTGTTCGTCCTTGTAATGGCCCATTCACACCCTAAAATCATCAAGAGTTTCATAGAGAGGTGACAATACTGATTTCTTATATTTTACGTTCAAAATATTTGAAGCACATTGAAAAAGTTGATTTGATGCTGATTGAGCATCTTCATATGAGATTTTTTCAAACATTGCATATAAAGCAGCAGATAATTCATAACATCTATTTGATACAAGCATCTAGAATTATTCAAAAATATAAAAGTTTTCAATAGAAATATTCTTTAGAAGTTTTACTAAAGTATTTCGTGTTAATTGATTTGTTGCTTGAGTTAATTGAACTAATGATGATGATTGTAATATAATACTATTTGATGTTGTTACGAGAAGATCAGTTATAAATGTTACTAGATAATCTCGAACATTTGCTAGAGAGTTTAATTCTATATTATAGTCAATCAAAGCTGATTCATTCATTGGTATTGAAATCTATTTTAAATATAAATCAATTCGAGTGAGATCTATTAAATTCAATTACTTGTTGTAAACGTTGACTTCCTAATAATGATACTGAAATATCTACAGCTGGTATTCCATCTAAAACAAAACTTATTTTAATTATTTCTCATAAATTGAATACAAATATTTACTTGATATGGCTTTATCTAAATTTTCACTGCTTATTTGATTGAGTTCTTGTGATAATGCAATGATCATTTGTCCAACAATATTTTGATTTCCACTTGAAAGTAATCGAATAATTGGATTATTTGTTATTGTACTCGATGAATTTGTTATTTTATCAATCAAATCATTAATTATTTCAGAATTTTTCATAACACTGACAGAAGATATATTTACTTGTGTAATAGAATTCAGAAGATCTCGAACATAAACAACAAGATTAAGTAATGAAGTTCCATTATCACCAGCTGGTAATCGCACTTGAAAATTATATTCTGATGAAAATGCAACTATTGTTCGTTGTGATATGTCTGTGGTCCATGCTAAAATGACCGAAAGTACAAAAGTCAGTTCGTAATAAAAACTAAACATACTATATAATGAATAATCTTCTATTCCATCTACATCATACCAATCAGGACATGTAATATTGAATAAAGTAGTTATAGTACCATTATGAGGATTGATTGAACATGAACCATTTGAAGGTGGTTGATTAATAATAAAATTCAATGCACTTGTACTTATTGCGGATTGAAATGTATAAACAACTTCAAAACGCCAAAGACTTATTTGAAGATTATTAAGAAATAATTGATCTGTTGCTGTAAAATTACTTGTATTTGTACCTAAAACAATCAATAAATATGTCTAATGTTTAAAAAAACAAAATGTTTACCAAAAAAACCAAATATTTTCATATAGAATGGTATTATTAAATAAAGTCCATTGTGTATAATTTGACGATGTTGAATTGTCTGATCCTTGATAAATATTCCATTTAATACTTTCAAGATTCGTACAAGTTCCAATACAAAGAGTAAATAGAGCAACTTGTGTAGTTGGATTAAGAAGTTGAAATTCAAGATTTGGAACACACATTGTTGATATTACACAACTAAAACAAATATTTTATCATTAGAATAATTCCATTAAAAACTCATAAATAATTTACCCAACAGCAATCAGTTGTGGATGAGTAACTTGAACTGTAACAAATACATACCCTGTTCCTTGAATAGAAGAATTCTTACGATTTTCCATATAAACCATAAATTGATAGATTTGATTTGCTTGAAGTGAACCACCAAGAACTGTTAGAGATGAATTAGGTGATAAAGTTAAATTTCCGAATATTAATCCTGTTCCATTTCCTTTTTTGAAAAATAATAAAAATGATTGAATTAGATTTTCATTAATAATTTTACCTGATCGATTTGACAAACATGATGGATTATAAGGATCAATTGTTGAATCATCAATTGATAATAATATTCCTTGTATATTTGGAAAATTATATAAATCATAAATTCGACAATAATATGTATATTTCCATTTCTATGATTAAGAATAAAATAATAATTATTTGAATATTCATCTACAGATATATTACTTACAGTTGCATCAAATGTATTTTCGTCAGGATCAACTGAAAATGTTCCAGGATCAAGTAAAAGATCCTGTTGATCACCTCGTGT